CCACTCCCAGGTGTCCCCAGGTGTGTCCCCAGGTGTGTCCCCGGGTGTGTCCCCAGGTGTGTCCCTGGGTGTGTCCCTGGGTGTGTCCCCGGGTGTGTCCTCAGGTGTGTCCCCAGGTGTGTCCCCAGGTGTGTCCCCAGGTGTGACTCACCCCTTGGGCACCACCATGAAGTCCATGACGCTCACGCCTGTGTGTCCCACTCCCAGGTGTCCCCAGGTGTGTCCCCAGGTGTGTCCCCAGGTGTGTCCCCAGGTGTGTCCCCAGGTGTGACTCACCCCATGGGCACCACCACAAAGTCCGTGACGCTCACACCTGTGTGTCCCACTCCCAGGTGTCCCCAGGTGTGTCCCTGGGTGTGTCCCCAGGTGTGTCCCTGGGTGTGTCCCCAGGTGTGTCCCCAGGTGTGTCCCCGGGTGTGTCCCCAGGTGTGTCCCCAGCTGTCCCCAGGTGTGACTCACCCCATGGGCACCACCACGAAGTCCGTGACGCTCACACCTGTGTGTCCCACTCCCAGGTGTCCCCAGGTGTGTCCCCAGGTGTGTCCCCAGGTGTGTCCCCAGGTGTGTCCCCAGGTGTGACTCACCCCTTGGGCACCACCATGAAGTCCATGACGCTCACACCTGTGTGTCCCACTCCCAGGTGTCCCCAGGTGTGTCCCCAGGTGTGTCCCCGGGTGTGTCCCCAGCTGTCCCCAGGTGTCCCCCTGGGCTGTGACTCACCCCGTGAGCACTACCATGAAGTCCATGACACTCACACGTGTGTGTCCCACCCCCGGGTGCCCCCAGGTGTGTCCCAGGTGTCCCCAGGTGTGTCCCCAGGTGTGTCCCAGGTGTGTTCCCCGGGTGTGACTCACCCTGTGAGCACCACCACGAAGCCCATGACGCTCACACGTGCATGTCCCACCCCGAGGTGTCCCCAGGTGTCCTCTCAGGTGTGGCCCAGGTGTGCCCAGGTGTGTCCCCAGGTGTGTCCCAACTGTCCTCAGGTGTGTCCCAGGTACGGCTCCAGGTGTGTCCCCCCCAGGTGTGACTCACCCCGTCAGCACCACCACAAAGTCCATGATGCTCACCATGAGCATCACCCCAAGGTGTCCCCAGGTGTCCCCAGGTGTCCCCAGGTGTGTCCCAGGTGTCCCCAGGTGTCCCCCCCAGGCGTGACTCACCCCGTGAGCACCACCACGAAGTCCATGACGTTCCAGCCGTTCCTCAGGTAGGAGNCCCCGCGTGTCCCCCCCCGTGTCCCCGCAGCCCCACGTGCCCGCGGCCGCAGCCGGTGCCGGTGCCGGGGGCGGCAGCTCCAGCTCGGGGATATTTTTAGTCCCTTTTTTTTTTTTCCCGGCGGCGCTGCCGGTGCCGGTGCCAACGGCGGCGGCGGTGCCAGAGCCGGGTGGGCACGGCCGGGTGGGCACAGCCCCGGAGGGGGGGTGGGGGGTGGCGGCCAGCGAGGTCCCCGAGGCCCCCCCAGGGGTTCGTTGCTGTCCCCACGACCCCCCCGCCGCCCGCGGTGCCGCGGAGGGTCCCCTGTCGCCATGGCAACGGGCCGGACCCTCTTCGTCTGTGCCACCCCCAGACAGCGCCGGTGACCCCCAGTCCCCCCAGTTCATCACCCCCAGGCCCCCCAGTTCATTCACCCCATTTTCCCCACTTGGACCCCCTTCCCTTCGCCCCCATTCCCCCCCCCTTTCCCTTCACCTCTGTTCCTGGGGGGGGTGCGGAGTAGGGGGCAGAGGGTGGGGGGGGAGCAGAGGGAACCCTCAGCCCGCCGAGCCCCCCCCAAACCAGCCCCAGGCCCCCCCCGCCTCAGTTTCCCCTCCAAAGGCGAGTGAAGGACACGTGGGCAGGGCCGGAGGGGCCCGGGGGGGGCTCTGGGGTTGAGGGGGCTTTGAGGTTGTGGGGCTGGGCTGGGGGGAGCGGGGGCTCTGTGTCCGGGGGGGTCTCTCAGGACGTGGGTGGGGGGCAGGGAGAGGGTTTTGTGTCCGGGGGGGGGTCTCTGAGCTGCTGCCGGTGCCTCCCGGTGAGTGACACCGCGGGGGACACGTTGTGACAGCGCCGAGAGGCCCCGGGGACACGGGGACAGCACGGGCCCGACTGACGCCCCCTCCCCCTCCGCCCGGCCCCCCCCGGCCCCCCCCGCGGCCCTGCACAGGCGTGGGCACACGAGGAACACACGTGGGACACACGTGTGGGGGCACAGCCGCTGCAGGGGTGGGTGCAGGGGGGGGTTCCTGCACCCCACACCCCGGCCCCACACCCCACACCCCACTGTGTCCCCCCGCGCCCCCCCGGGGGCCCCTCAGTCCGGGAGCGCCACAGCGGAGCCCGTGACATTCCCACCTGTGTGTCTCCACGTGTCCCCCTTCTACAGGTGGCCCCGGGTGTGTCCCCAGGTGTGTCCCCAGGT